GCCGGCCGCGCCCCGACGCGCACCCCTGGCCCAGGCGCCCCGGCCCCGCGGCCCGGGCCCGGAGGCGCGGCGCGGCCGAGCGCGGGAGACTTACTTTTGGCTAGCTTCCTCGCCCTCGCCTTGGATCGCATGGTGTCGGCTCGCGGAATCTCTCTCCTCCTCCTTGAGTCCAGAAGCAGCTACACACTATCTTCATCTCCCCAGCATTGTCAGTTTGGACACCTTCGCACATGCGCACAGAGCACTCAATCTGACACCCCTCGCCGGGGCCAAAAAAACTTTGCAATGTATTCATCATCCTCATCGTCGCGCCGCCGCCGCCGCCGCCGCCGCCTCGGCGCGGGATTGGGGGGCTCTCTTCGGCCTTCTCGGTCCTCATCTCACTTATCTCTCCCCCCTCCCCCCCTTTTCAGCGCAGCTCGTAACTGGCCCTTTAAGAAAACATTCCCTGCTCGGCGCTCCCGCCCGGGGCCCGCACCCCGGACCCTTTAAAAGGACCCAGGTGGCCCCGGCGGCGAGGTGACCATCCCCCCACCCTGCCCTTGCGTCGCGTCGCGCTGCTGCTCCCGCCCCGGCCGGGGCCGAAGATGGGGTGGCAGCTGCGGTGTTCCACGCGACTTCCTTGGGTCTCCCTGCAAACGCGCCGATAGTTCGGACGCGGGTCCGGGCTGGCTTTGCTCGTTTTATTGCATTTTATTACTAATTAAAAAGCTCTGCGTTCGCCGTCGCCCCAGCCCGCGTTCCTCCCGAACTCTCTTCTCGGCCCCCGCCCCCGCCCCCGCCTCGCGATCGCCGGCGGGGTTGTCCGGCCCGCGCGCCTGAACCCGGCTCCTCCGAAGCCCCCTCCGGGCCCCGCCGCCCCCTCCCCTCCTCCCCCACCCAACGGCTGCTGCTTCGGGCTTCGCGGCTCAAAAACAACAGCGGAGGCGCCGCCAGCTCCGCGCTCCGCCACTGCCCAGGCCGGCGGGCGGCACTCGGACCCGCCGCGCTCGGTCCCGCGGTGAGCTGCGGAGGGCAGCGCGAGGGCGGCCGTCCGAACACCGGGCGTCCTCGGCGGGGCGTCCCGGGGCGCCCTGCACCTCTCCGCCCTGGGGGCGGGCGCGCTCGCTCCTGCCTCCGCGCCCCCGCCCAGCTGCCGCCGCGCCCCTAGGTGAGTACCCGGCTGCGCGAGCTGCAGAGCTGGGCCACCCTCGGAGACCGGGGGCCTCTGGGGACACTCCCCTCTGGCCTCTCGGGGCCCAGGTGCGTAGCGGGCGGGAGGGCCGGCGGCGCAGGTGGCGCAGCGCGGGCGGGAGCTGCCCGGGAGCGTCTTGTGCCCCTGCAGCCCTCAAACTCGAGGGTGCGGTGGCAGAGGGGGCCTGATGGGGTGAGTGCGGATTCCTAGCTTACGTGGAATTCGAGAATGAATTGGAAGCAAACGGCGGCGCTGCCCTGGCCGGGTCGCTGCCCCGCGCCCTTCCCCGTCCTGCCGGGCAACAGGACTTGGAGCCTCGGAAGCGTCAGCCCGAGCCTCAGGCAGGGGTCGTGCCCGCGGTGCAGGGTCTCTGCCTCCCCTGGTGAGACTCCTGGCCGTGCCCTCCTCCCCTTTGTTGTGCAATGAGACCTGTAGCAGCTCCACGGGGATCCGCACACGGAACTCTGCGCCTTTGCGTTAAAAGAGGTGAAACGGCAGCAACCCAAGAGAAAACCCCAGACCCCGGCGTCCTAGCAGAGGCGTCCCGGATGGGGAGGGCGCAGGGCGGACGCCACCCCAGAGGAGAAGCCCAGTGGAGCCGGGCTTGGCAGGAGCCAGCGGTGGCGGTGCGCTGGGCCTTCCGCCTTCGACCTCCGCAATCCGCAGCCGCTTCTCTGCTCGGATTCGAACCCCGATGCGGTTCCCACGGCTCGGGGTGCCCAGTCCTGCACCCTGCTCGCCGCCGGGACGGAGGAAGCTCTCCCTAGCCGCTGCCTCCGCTGTTTACTGGGTGAGTGTCGCCCCGCGGAGGGCCCGAGCGCACAGGCGACACAGCCCCATTCCCCGCAGGCCTCGCGAGGGTCTGTCGCCCGGTTACCCACTCTCCCCACACCTTGACTATCTTTCCGCACGCCCGGGCCAGAAAACCGCTCAGTTTCCAGGGCCTGGAGTCTCGATGGGAAGTCCCGGTAGCAGACCAGGGGCGCGCCGCAGCCCCTGGCGGGCCCAAGCTGGCTCTGAACCTGCTCACCTGGGTTGGGGTGAGGGGTGCTCGAGCCCAGGAACACACGAGCTGCCCTGCCTAATCTTGGCCAAGGGCAGGCTCCAGGTGGGCCCAACCTGGCTGGGGCTGCTGACCAGAAAGGACTCAAGGTCATCCCATACCCAGGGCCCCCTTGCTCCTGCCGGACCTTCCCAAGAGGTTTGGTATGAGGCCTGGGGAGGCAGCACTGTGCTTGTGAAGTGCTCCCCTGCAGAGAGGGTCCCTCCTCCCACCCCCCAGCCCAGAACGGGCCTCCTTATCCTCTGTGCTGGAGGCCGCCAGCAGGCTTCAAGGTTGTGAAGGCCCAGACTTCTTCTGGGGGCACCCCAGGTCACTCAGGCCTCTCCCTGCCCTCCCTCCGCTCAGGAGGCAGTTCTCAGAGCCTCAGCAGGGATAGGCCGGGACAGCCATCCCAGAGCCTGCACTTGTGTTAGGGCCTAGAGAAGTGGGTGGGCAGGAGGCCTGGGAGTGAGCATGGCTGTGCTGCTTCCTTGCCCGCTGCTAGGGCTGCTGGGGTGTGGGTGGGGACACTGCTGCTCTGGGTACGCCTGGGGAGGAATATCTGGGGGTCAAGGCTGACCAGGGAGACAGCTGAGCTGCCTAGACCCCAAGGTGCCACAGCGGAAGGGCAATGTCTCCCCAGACTGTTACAGGAGCAGCCGAGCAGGCCGTCCGCAAGGCCATGGCCCTGGCCTAGCCAGGCCCTGCCCCCGCGTGGCCAGACTTAGAAGCAGAGAGCAGGTCAGGCAAGGAGGCGTCCTGGGGAGAGGGAAGGTCAGACACAAGTCCTCCCCAGGGCCCTGTTCTGTGTCCTTGCCTGGCAAACACTTCTGGGGACTTGAAGGAACAAGTGGCGGGGGGGGGGGGGG